TGAAAGAGCCATCGACATCATGGTGAGTTTCAACTAAGTCTTACCTTGTGGGCCACACTCTACTGCACCCATTGTAACAATACGGAAAGCTGAATAAATCTAGCCGTAAAATTAGCCTTTAGTCTCCGTTATTCACCTTCTCGTGTGGAAAGGCCAGGGTTGTATTAGCATGTGTGACCACTGATCAATTGCTCCACTGGTATGACTCGTGTGGGACACATGGGTACTCCCCGAGAAATTGCGTGTGGGAGTTCTCTCTAGTGCTATTGATTAGCTTCGGTATTGATTAGCTTCGCTATTTTGCGAGAAGGGATTGTTAGATATGTATTTTAATTGCTAAATGAATAAATTTTTGTTGTTTGTTGTTGTTGTTGTTGTTTGTTATTGTCAAGGATACATACGAGTTTTGATCAGATTTTATTCAACTTGTTTCCTCAGACTCCATGGAATCCTCGAGTGGAAATGCCAATAGAAGCTGCATCTGTTCATTTCCTGATTGGCATGTGTCATTCAGAGCTTGGGAGGCCACTCGGTGCTCTTGACGCTTTTAATAATGCCATTCGAGTGAACCCAGATTTTGCAGAGGTATTTTAATAACAAAGACAGATGTCACAAAGAGCCAATGAGAACTCAAATTTGAAAACAAACCAAGTTCTTGAAGCGTCGGAAAAAGAGGGACTGGATCACGAATGGCTAACTGGTTAAGATGGTGATGCGAATTTCCGGGACTAATCAATTAAACGCAATCCTGGTTTACTCTTGACACTCGATGAGAGAAATTTTCAAATGAGAGTTGAAAGTAATCTGGGATTGCGTGGGTTTTGCTTTGTTTTGCGCTGTGATTGGTCCAGAAATTTGTGCCACCCTGTTAACCACTTAACCAATCGCGAGTTGTGCCCACGCTCTAGACATTTTACTTGTTTTTACTCTGAGTTCTGATTGACTCTTTAAGATATGTTCCCTTCTTTTGATTGGCCGGTGTTATAACTCTGTTTTTCTAATTTTACCACACTCCATCGAAAATTTCTAAAATTTCTCTTCATTGGATAGTCTTTCTTACTCTAATCCCCTACTCGATTTACATTTCCAAGATGAGGCGGAAGGGAATTTTTGTGCGTGTAGTAGAAAAAAAAATTATCCTGAATATTGAGCTAAAAGGTTTTTGTACCTTTGACAGGCTTTCTACCAGCGCGGACTGACGAAGATGAAGTTGAAGCACGCTAAAGGAATCCATGATTTTAACCGAGCATTGGCCATCAAGCCAACACTTTTCCAGGTCAGCGGTATTTGAGTGTCGTAAAAGTTCTTATTACTTCCACAGTGAACTAACGAACCTATGGATGTAGTCTTACATCTCAGTAACCCTGAAATATCCTTTTTTCAAAACATGATATTCACGGTCTGATCAAAACGAAACCTACTTAAATTTACTGGAAAGCTGTCTAAAACTGCTCCCCTTTCTGTTTTCACTAAGTTAGACCGATGCATGTGTACTCTTAGGAAAATAAACTTGTTTTAAGGTCATTTCTCTTTATATATGCGATTGTTACCATCCAGTATTCTTACATGCATCTGAGGTCTTTTCTCGTGCACGGTTTCATCTGCCTACAGTCTAATAAGTTTTGTAGCGAAAAGATCCTTCCCATAAGCTCCGTACTCGTAGAAAAAAAAAGGATTGAATAAAATTAGCTGAAGGTGTCTTTAAAGGCAAGGTTGAAGCTTATGGATGTGTCTTGCGTTTTTCATCGGGTCAGCGTACACTATTTTAGCTCCCCTTCCCATATCACGAGATTTCAGCTCAACCACGTGTCTGTTACTGCCTGCATAAGAAGGAGATGGGGGTGTAAGTAGTCCGCTATTTTGTCTAGGAAGGGACTTTTACGCCTGATTTCATTTTGCAAGTCCCGTGTCGTATTTGATTTCCTTAGGCATTTTTGAGTCGGGCAGCTTACTATGGTCTGAAGGGACGCTACAGTAAAGGAATCATGAGCTGTAATGAGGCCATTAAGCTACAGCCTCGCAGTGTTAGGGCCTACCTCTACAGGTTTGTTGCTTACCAAAAAAATACTTTTGTGAATTTTTATTGGTTTGCTGCGATAAAAACTCTTTGTGTTGCGATATTTTAAAACACGAAAAAAAGCTTTTAATGTCAGAACTGTGACAATGTGATATACAACACTGAATGATTTGATGAACGAATGGACTAACTTGTTAAAGAACAAACCATGAGCGGAGGACGAAAACACATACGAGCTGGTGAACGAACGAAGAACAAACAAATAAGGGTATAAATCTATGAAGAACCGAAATAGGGAATTATGAACGTACGAACGCACTACGAACAAGTAGACTAACTTATGAATGAAATACAAGTGGATGAAACATTTGAGACACGAAAGACAAACATATAACAAGCGCCAGGTTGAAGCTTATGAAAATAGAGATGTGCCTTATTGTAACCTGCAGGGGAGCGTTGAAATACAACATCAAAGCTTTCAGTCTGGCGGTAAAGGATCTCACAGAAGCTGTGGCAATCGACTGTAAATGTTCACTGGCTTACTTCAACCGTGCAGTTTGCTACCATGAAATGAGATTCTTTCAGAAGGTTGGTACAGCTTGGTGAACAACTGTTTGATTAGAATTCATACCTACGTCTACATTAACCTCTAGTTTTTATAAAAACAAATATGGTAACCTGTGAGTTAGGTTTTCGAATAAAGAAAGATGTTAGACGTTTTCCGTCATGCGCGGGGCAAACGAAAATTCTCCTCGACGTCCATGGTCAAAAATATCTATCCAAACAAAGGGCTCACGAGGAGCCAACGCACAAACGTCAGCTTTGGAAACACCTAACGACAATCAATTTACATGATAAACTCTGTTGATATAACCAAATTATCTTGTCGTATATATATTCCAATGGTATAATCCAATGGTATGAGGTTCGATTCCTTTTGGGGTCTCAGATTTATTGCTTTGTTCCACACTCGAGAAAAACTAATAACACCTTTCTTACGCCCCAATTTTTTTATCGCTAATCCCTAGGCGCTGATGGATTATGGAACAGTAATGCTACTTGAAGATGCTCCTAATATTAAGGTGAGTCTGTGTTTAAACCTAAAAACGCTAGGAAGTTTTCCATGTGACATGTGGCGTGCTTTCGGGCTTTCAGAGTCAAGTAGAATAAAACTTACGGTGTTTCTAAAGCGTTTAACTTTTTTTTTATAAAGTTTTAAAAAAATGGTAATTTAGCAGGAAACCCGTAATCAAGTAAGCTGTGCGTTCAAATAGTTTCAATTTTTTCTTTGCCTTAAATTTACTTCCGTTTACAAATATCGTGGACTCTTCCATCCACCATCCACCACACCCCCCCCCCCCCCCCCCCCCCCCTTCCATATTTTGTGTGGAGGCGGTTGTTTGTTATGTTTTTCTTGGATACTTTGGGCGAGAAATTGGCGCGTGATCAGCCGAGATTGATTTCTTTGCGCATGCTCGACGTTTTACCGCCATGTTATAGGGCTAACGGTCGGTTCCTTCCTCCCTTCTTTGGCTTAAGTTTTCTGTTGTCCTCGTTTTTCTGTTGGAATCTAGGTTCTGCAGAATCGAGGATTGCTTTACCACGAAATAGATGACGTGGAAAATGCTTTACAAGATTTCCTGGCCGCTGCCAAGGTACCTTAGAAACTTTCTTTTAGCGCCTCTGGTCATTCTATTTGTTTTGTGTGCAATAAAATAAAAAGTGTCATTTTTTGTCTTGCCTTAAGGTGTCACCAGCCAACCCCCATATACGTCACACACTGGGTCTTTGTTATCACAAGTGAGTGGTGTTGGTCGTCCCTATGCGGAGTAGTTAGCACAAAACAAAAAGAAAAGTAAAAGGATAGAAAACGCTGGCTGTATCTTAGCGTGCGAGTTGGCCTTCGTTATAAGTGTTTCTGCACGTGCGTTTTTTTGTCCGCGGGAAAGTATGGGGCCTGGAGCAGAGTGAGCCGACGAGAGATCTGCGAGGGGCGTAGCAGTGACATATTAGTGCCAGCCCCCGGCTAAACTCTCCCCGACTCGTTTCAAATCTTCCCGCGGGCGAAAACTGCGCGTCCTGCAGCGCATATAACGAGTGCACGCTAGTTGTATCTTTACCTAGCTTACTATGGAGGTTATGACTACGCTTCCACCCCTAGTGAAATCCAAACAGGGTTATCGTTTTGATCTCTGTTTCGCTGCCGTGTGTAGCCAAAGTTTCTGTTAATCAGAAGCCTCGTTCAGTGTCTCTGCTTTGTTATTGTTTCAAGAGGTTTCCAAACAAATGTCCGTCGTTGGTTTCGTATGATACACAGCAATGACTATACCTGTCTTTACACTCCTCTGTTTAATGCTTTACCCAGGTTAAACCGCTTGGAGGAAGCTGTTTCGTCTTACAACGATGCTCTTCGTATCGATCCGTTCTTTGTTGAAGCATACAATGGGCGTGGAAATGCATTGATGGACTTTGGACACGAAGATGGAACTATTCTGGGAAGGCGAGTACTAAGATACTTTCTCTTATTTTCCCAACCATCTGCTAACATGTTCACTTAATTACTTACCTGTTTGTGTTCCTGCTTCCTCCCTCTAACCCCTATGTCCTGTCTTCCCATTTAACCATACTCTTTCTGCATTCTGTCTATTAGTCCGCCCCAGCCCTCTACTGGCCTTCACCTCTCGGCTTCCTCTCTAATCAAAAATGCAGAGGACTTATTGCAGAAGGGTTTGTCTCCCTAACTTATGGAGCAAACAAGGCAACATGGAGTTTTCTACATAACGGCATGCTATCGACCTGTTCATGTTACCTTTTATTTCAGACATGATTATTTAAAGGCTCTTCATGTGGACCCACTGTGTTTATCTGCACGAGTGAACTTGGGCTACAATTTGCAGGTAACTAATGTGGCCGTCAAGGATTGAAGAATTGATAGATTAATTGATTGCCAATTGCTTGCGTGCTTCCCTTCTTCACAAGCTGCCTCACTGACTGAACGACGAACTGACAGACTGGTACTGACTGTTTGTGTGACTTGCGGAAAGGCTGATTGACTAACTGGTTGACTGACTGCCTGTCATAAAAATAAGGGCAATTATCACCATAGGGGTTTCTTCATGTGCGTGACTTTTTTATGCTTGAAGAGCGTGGATTTACTGACTGACTGACGAACGGACTGACTGACTTACTGACAGATTGACTGACTGACTGGCTGATTGACTGACTTACAGATTGATTGACTGTCTGAATGACCGGCTATCTGACTGACTGACTGATGGACGAACAAACAGGCAGACGGACGGACGAACGGGCGGACGGACTGACCGACTGACTTACAAACTGACTGACTTATTGACTGAGTGACTGACTGACTGGCTGGTTGGCTAACTGACTGACTGCCTGATGGACAGACGGGCGGAAAGACGGACGGACCGACTGACTGATTGATTGATTGACTGACTGACTGACTGACTGACTGACTGACTGACTGATAGATTGTCTTTCTGTCTTGCTTATTATCAGTCTGTCTGTCTCTATCTGTGACCGACTGACTAACTCGCTGGCTATCCGAATGAGTCGGTGACCGAGAAACAGAGAAATAGATTGAAAAACTGTCTAAATGGTTAATATATTAAACATTCGACTGTACGTTCATGGATCATTTGGTGAATTATCTTAACTGATTCCTTTCGGTTCCTTATCAGGTTGAAGGAAAGTTTCAAGCGGCATGGAACCAGTTTTCCGCTGCAATATCCATTAATTCAGGTCGGTGAGAAGGAAATAAATTGGTTTATAACACTGGACTGGTGGTGTTTGTGTTTTTTCACAACTTAAATGTTTGAAATGACATGCTGCTCTGTCTCGATATTTTCTGTAAAGGCAACGTGGTCGAGTTGCTCAGGGTGCTAAGTTTGAAATTTTTGGGATCCCAGGCTCAGATCTTCCACTCTGTCACTCGACTGAATCTGTTTTTCGGTGGTCCTGATTTTGACTCCTTCGCTGCCCTCTTTTAATCCTCTAATCTCTGAGGGTGACTCCAATCTAATTTCCCCCTACAGTGTTACTGCTGAATCACTCAGTAAGGTCGTAAGAATAGAGGAAATGATCACCCCAAACTAAAGAAACTCTTGACTGTTCAACAAATTCTCTATGTCAGTTCCATAGGAAATGTATAGAGAACAGTAGGGAGAATCTGCTTACTGAGGCTGTAAAGTCTAATATAACACCCATCTGTTCGAATTCTGAACCGTTTCTTTTCTCTCTGGCATGTTGGGTTATGTACTCACAGTGTCTCGAAAGTTACTAAATGTATCGTCCCTTAGTGTAATTTTTGTGTTTCTTTTTGTCTTCTTTTAGCATGCCAGTCAGCTTTGGAAGGCCGCGCTGTTGTAAACTTACAGATGGGAAACACGTTTGGTGCCTTTGTTGATATGAATGACGCTATCAAGGTACACGAATACTAACTATCTTGGATTGTGTATTGTTATTAGAGTAGGAGTTGTCATTTTTCTACTTAAAAGTTGTCGCTAACTAATTGCCTTTGTTGTTCGATCAGATTTCTAAGACTGCAGAGTTGTTGACGAATCGTGGAGTAGTGCAGCAGGTGAGTACCTCTTTATCTCCCAACAAGAGCTTAATCTACAATAAGTGGCTTAAGTGTTCGGTTACTTTCTTTCAACCTCTTTGTATTACTATTCTACTATTCGCCTTTCTCTCCCCACCCAAAGGAATATCAAATGAGCTTCTCTACATTTCCATGCGGTTTGATTCAACATTGTATGGTAGGGAAGGGGGCATTGTTAGATGTTATCAGGTTTTTTCTTCGGTAAGAAGGATGACCCGAGTCAATCTCGAAGAGAACCACATGCTAGTGCAGACTGACAAACCGTGTTCTTGTAAATTGTGTATCTTTAATTTAGGATTCCCAGCGGTGTTTCGACCTGGGCTAGAATTCAACCCGTGCTCGTGTGAAGAGGCCCTTAGAGGTGGTTTCTGAAAATTTTTCTCTCTCGTTTTTCACAGTTCATGGGAGACTTGGTGAATGCCATCCGCGATTACCAAGCGGCAGTTAAAACAGATCCATCGTACGCTCTCGCTTATTATAACGCCGCTAATGTCTACTTTAGACAGAGGCAATTCAAGCAGGTGAGTGAAATTGTCATTAGTAGTAATTTTTCTTGTGCTTTTACCTGGAAAGTTAAGATTTTGATACAGTTATAATCAAGGGCTCATCAAAAGCTGGTTATCGGTGGTCTGTCACCGCCTATAAGACTTTTTATCGCCGTCTGTTAAGCCTGCGCAGCCTCTCGTGTTTGAGTTTCACCTTACGGCCCCTTTTTCGGGCGCAGTCGTCTATTAAACCATCGGCAGATGCTTGTGGAAAAGTTACCGGAACCTCTGATATAATCCTGTTGGGCTAAAGCTGTTACCATTCGTAGCCCTGGCGGACACGTTTGCGTTCTTGTGTGACGTCACTTGTTTCCATGGAAACTGACCTTGTGTTGTGCTTTTGTCCGTACGTCATACTCCATGTTGTTCAGGCGAGTAAACGCTCGAAGTAGGCCCAATATTGACATACAATTTTTTTTCTTTTAAAAGGCCCTGAACTACTACGACAAGGCTTTGTCTTGGTATTCTGAAGACGAATCTGCAGTACTTAACAGAGCTATAACGAAGGTGCGTTATTCGTGCACAGCGGTCAAACGAAAACGCGCAACTCCATATTCTATCATTACTGCTCATGTTCTATAAGTTTCAATTGTTTCTGTTGTTACGTTACAAAACAATTATTTTTAAATAAATGTCATTCGTTTTGGTATTTTTTTTTCTACACAGGTGATGATAAAAGACACCCGAGGAGCGATACAAGATTTCAACCGAGCAGGTATTCTGTGGGGAAATTTCTTTAGCAAAAGCCAGTTAGGTTTTTAATGCGCGGCACACGATAAATTGCGCTCTGGATCGAATGGTGCAGGCCCTGGTTAAATCATCAGTGTCGTGTTCTTTTACAAAACATCAAGTGTTTTTACTTACAGTGTCTCTCTCTACTTAAGGGTGTAAATGAATGCCGGTGAAATGTCAAAGAGACTTGACGCAATTCCTGGGGGTAATCATGCTTTTAAAGGGAGCTAGCAAAAAAACATTCAAAATTAAAATAAACAAAAAAAAATGTAGTCAGGTATTTTCGAGAGAGAATCACTTCTAAAGTAAAATGTCTTATGTAATTAATAACATCGATAAAAGTCCTTTCTATATTTTCTATAAGTCTTCACCTAAGCCGTTCTCCCTCTTTCTGTTTTAAGCACTTATAATAATTCTTTTTTATATTTACAGTGGAGCTGAATCCGTACGCTGCTCATCTGTACTTCAATCGAGCAAACCTTTACGCTTCACTAAGGAAATACAAGGAGTCTGAAGATGATTACACCAGAGGTAGGAACCCCCCCCCCCTACCCCTCCCAGGACGAGTACATTTGTCTACCCGTTGGGTCTGTTTTAGAGTATATTTAGTTGGGGAAACTCTTCAGCCGATAAAACAAGAAAGCAATTCGTGCTACATGAATGTCACGTTAAGGTAGTCCATCAATAAGCTGGATGTACGATACCGTGACCTTATATGAATGACAGAGCATGCGCCAACGTTATAGGTCATTACAGGGATTACGAGGCCATTCCAAATCAGTGTTTTCGAAAAGCTTCGTTTTCTGTCGTTGACTCAACCTACGCTGGTTATCCTTTTCGAATTTTTTTAATTCTACAAGCTTTGTCTACGAAAGCACCAGTTTGTTTTGAAAGGAGCTTGAGTATCAACCAAATATTTTGGTATGGCTACACAATGAGTTTTTACCTTCGGCGCATTTCGATGGAATGTCAGAAAGCCAGCTAAAGAAACGACAATAGCCCTTGGTAAATATTACTAATAAACTGCTTTAGGCGCCGGAAAACGCGATCAACAAAGCCCCTATTTATTTCAGTTTTGCATCTGATTAGTTGAGAAGGTAGCGCGAGTTTGTAAGGACCAATCAGATAGCGAGGTATTGAAAAACCAAAACCAATGTAATCCCAGGTTACTTTCCACACTCGGTTGAAATTTTTATGCCTGCTTCCTCTACAATCTTCCGATTTTAATATTTTTCCTCAGCCTTAAGCCTTAAGCCCGGTGATGCTCTTGTGTATAAAAGACGAGCTGACGTTCTTGGCAAACAAGGGAAGAAAGGCGCCGCTATTGAGGACTACAAGAGAGCAATCGTGATTCAGACAACAAAACGATAGAAACACCATTCAATTTCGATCCTTCTTTGTCATTTAAATTTTTTTTTTCAAATTGGTTAACCAAGATAGGGGCTTGGATAAGAACCAATGTCTACCGTTGCCTGTAAGACTTCACACGCCGTCTGTTGAGCCTGTGAACAGCCTCTATGGCCCCTAACTGGACACAGCTGTCTTTTACACCTTTGACAGCCGTTTATGGAAAAAGTTATTGCAACCCCAGCTAGACAAAAACTGGTTTGCAGAATATATTTTTGCAGTATTTGTAAATTTTGTTGTACATTTTAAAGGTTTTCTTGTATAAATAAGCGTTCTTTGTGTGCATATTTTTAGAGGCAATCTTTGTCATTTGAGCAAAACCCAACTTTTATTTATTAAACGAGCACTGAATATTCTTACAGATATGCTGTGTGCGAATGTTTTTTTTTTCCAATGGTACTTCAGTGAAACTGTTCTTAATAAACTTTCTTCGATATTTGGTCTGTCCCAAGAAGTGATTGAAATGTAATGTTTCCTCGCCGTATATTAATACATTATCCACTAAAACGATGATGTACGAATAAGCAAATCCTTTGCTAGAAAATATTGTTTCTACAGGCTTGTCGTCCCGTTCTAGTAATCTGAATCTTGTATTTAAGACCAGGCATTTTATTTGAATACTGCGTGCGAACATCAAGTTTGAGAGTGATTTTTCTTAATTTTTGAAGAATTAAAGGTAAGTTGATATTACCGTCTTTGTTGAAACTGTACATCAATTCTTTAGAATTCGGCTAAACTCGCTTGCTCAGTTCCAGGATGAATACTATGCTATTTCAGTTTGACACTTTTTTTTTTAAACAAAAATAAGTCTGCATTTTGCTCCACGAGCTGTATTTATGGAGAAGAGAGCGGGACATGACAGGATTAATGTTTACCACAGATTAATTAAAAAGGAAGGTCTTAGACAAATTTTACGGATTTCTGGCAAAGTTTTATCCATTTAGGTTGAAATTTAATTGAAATTATTATATCTTCTCGGTTTTATCAAAATTTGGAGCAGTTTTCTAGATGTATTCATGTTTTATCGTCGAGTTTAGGTTTTGATATATTTCTAACCTTCATTTAAATTCCAAGACAATTGTAGCTGAATAGATTTTGATGAAACGGCTTTTTCCCTTTCTTGTCTCGGTGTCATTTAAACTATGAACCACTTAACTGTCTGAAGTTTTTTCTTTTTATTTGCAGGTTGATTAGTAGCCACATGGCTATCTTTCACGACAGCCGTGACAACTTCAAATCTAAAACTCAAAATGGCTCAAGCAGCGAGCATAATCACAAAGTAAGTCATTTTTTCTCTTTCCAATCTTTGCGACATAATATATTTGTTCCCACGCATTCTCGTATAGTAACATTCATATTCAAATGGCTCAAATCGAGTTGAACAACATTATACCTTCCGTTTATAAGAGGGATCACTTTTATACAATTAACGATCTGAAGGTGTAAGCGTTTTGTTAAATTAAGAACATGCACAAATTATATTTAATACCATTGGAAGTCAGACAGACATAATTTTTCCAGAAGCAATTTAACATGTCTGTAAATCGGCCACTTTACATAGATTTATGTCGCGTAGATTTTAATGAATTCTAGAAACTTGCAACTGTTAATAGCACACTCTCTCTTCGATCGATTTTCAATAAAAAGAGCGTTGCACAAAGCCGTTATTAGCGTTTTGATTTAGAAAGTATCAATAATTTTTTGAAAGGCAAGGACAAAAGAGTATGCTTTAAAATTGACGATCTTTTTATTGCTTTTAATTTTTAATTCGTGATATTTCTAGACTCTTTGAACTTCCTTTCCAACTTTAGGATCCATTTCTCATTTTACCTGCCCAAAAGAACTTTGCTAATCATTATCAAGATAAATGGAAGTTTTTTTGAGTTTTCAATATTTAGCATCAAATTCCAAATCTCTTTGATTAATTAACTCTATTTTCACTTCCTTATTTTTGTAATCCCTGTCAATGTTCCTTGCAAAATAGTTATTTTTCCGGAAACAAAGCGTAAATCCAACCCGTTTCTTTTTCGCCGAAAAATTATTTGAGCAACAATCGTCTTAACCCCCTAACTCTTGCATTATCTTCAGTCCCCTCTAACCTTCTGCTCCTTCTTTTAACCAGCTGATTAACGGCATCAATTTAAAAATACCTTCATTTAATGACTGTTATCAAATCCACCGAATGTGAAATCAACTTCAGTTGCTCCTCTTTCCTTGTAACGTCACGTTGTATTCAAATGCATGCTCATCCAGTCGACCTTCATATCACATCACTGGATTATTGAAGGCGGGTATCCCGGGACAATGAAAATTTAGCATAAGCATCCACTGACGCAGCTGGTTTTTTTAATGTTCGTCAGGTTTTCCTAAGGGAAGTTGAACCCTAAAATAACATTGATCCAATCGCGTGACTTTTTCGTGTAACGCCAACTTGTACGCCAGACTGTACGCGTACGTCGTGTACGCCAGACTCTTGACATCGATAATCATATAGCATTTTAGCTCAGCTGGAAAGCGGGATCAGAAAGGGGCGTCAAAACGCCTGAAGATAACCTGAGAAAAACGCAAGCTGCGTAAAATAGGCCGATGCGAAAACTGCGTCAAATAGGCCGGTGATATATGCAGTTACGTCACAGTAGAGAAACGAGAAGAAACTTTAGCCATTATGATTTAAATAACGAATCACAGATTCACGTTATCTTTTGGCTGTTTATTATTGACTTCTTAAAAATAATTCCTTTCTTGAAATTTGTGCTTGTTTTAGAAATAGCGAGTGCATAACCAAGCCGTATAGTTTGGTCTAAAAGTTATATTTTGTTTTGTAAACTAGAGTGAGATTGCATCGGTAATGAAGCATAGAGAGGGGCCGAGAAACGAGTTATATTAGTTCGTCTAACAAACCGCTTAGCGGCAGCGAATCCACTTCAATTATATTTTGATTTCCCGCACCGCGTTCTCAATATCGCCAATAACTTCGCAAACTCTTGCAAGTGTTTTAAAAGCCCTCTTAAACGAAACAAATAACAATGATGCCGCCTGATATGGCGTTCACACGGGTAATTTAAAGGCAAAACTTGGTAACTGCGCCCTTCAAGAACCTTGTAAGTTGAATTTGTACAAATTATTTAATAGTTTACCATCACGGTTTGGTCAATTACGAATTTTCCAAGGCATCCGCACATATTATGTTGATATCGTCTGTAAATTCAGTTTTCAGCTGTAGATTAATTTTCCTTTCTAAGATGCAAACGTCTTATCAGGGCTTTTGATAATTTCCTCGTTTTGTAGACTAAACTACCGAAAAACAACACAATTGTGTATGTATTTTACTCAAGAAGTGCCCCTGGCAAACGAGCGAAATTCCAAAAATAGACGATGTTTGTTTTGTGTTTGTTTTGTTATATATTTTTTTTTTTGCAGTTAGTCCAGAATACTAAAAAATGGTTTGGTTTCAAAATTAATACAACAAACTTTTAGCAAATAGATGATCCACCAGATGAAACATGGGATAGGAGATCAAACTGTTTTTTAGACTGATTTGTTATGCTGTCCTCGCAATTGTTTCTTATAAATTCTTGATTCAGCTGTTTTGTCAAGGCAAAAAGTATCATGAATTAATATAATAAAATTGACATTGTGGTCTATAAGTGTCCCTCATTTAGCAAGGCTCGTCTATTATAGGCTCATTTGACGGCGAACTTTGTGCCCGGAGTAATTTCCCAGCCGTCATACAGAGTAGGCGGGAGGCGGGGTTATTTAAAGAAGGGCGGATTTTTTGGATAAGGCATTATAAACTTGCGATTCAAAGGTGCAGGAGCTTTTGAGTTAAAAAGGTAAGTTCTTCATTTTCATGTCACAGAATCGTAGAGAGGCGCATCATTGTCTAGTGCAGGGGAAAATGTCGGATGACGTTTATGACAGATAATACGAGTTGTAGCTCTCAAAGTAGTAATAATATTTGTTTATATCGTGAGTTTGTGGTTTTTGTGAAAACTAACGAAAAATTTGGCTGCCGATGATGACTGCAGAATGCCAAGTGGACTCTCGGGAATTTTTTTTAAGGCCCTCTAAGCTCATGGTTATGTAAGTGCTCATGCACATTCTCATCATGATATCAAAACCTGTTTTGATAGCTTCGTAAAATTGGTACTAAAGCTAGCATGAAAAGTGCTTCGGGTTTGATGCTAGCAGCATTGCCTAAGAAGACACAACTTGTAAAAGAAAACAGATGTTCTAGTAAAGTGCAAAACCAGATTTGTCCCATTTTAGAGCAGTACAATTTAAAAATCACTATTTCATTCTCCACCATCTTTCCGCACAAGGTTATATGAGCTACCCACGCACTACCTTTTGATGTAAAATAGAATGTTACTTGTAAAAGTTCAAGATCATTCCTGCTCAGAGTCTGTATGTTACCTCGTCTTAGTCCTTTGTTATTCTAATTTCTAACCACTCAGATAAAACCGCTATTTTAACGTACAATCGGTTCTTCTCTTTTACTTTACCCCGCAACAGTTTCCGTTGCAAACAATTCCAAATTACCAGATCAATATAGTTTTTTCGTCGCTTTCCAACGCTGTCAAGCGAATAATTACAGTCCTTTATCATATCTTTCAGACGCACTATATAGTCAAGCATGTTACGGTAATGAATGTTTTTCAGTGCTGCTTTGGTGCTGAACTCTGCGCCTTACTCATGATGTCTAGTCAATGATGTCACTAATTCCGCCCATTTCGGTTTGCGTGCAAGCTACGATCTGAAACAAAAACATAAAAAATTAAGATAATTTCGTGGGCGTCGAAAAAACATATAGACCACTGTTAAAAGGCCATTAACAGATAACTTACATTGTCTTTATGATGGGGAAACGGAACAAAGCCATCGTTACCTTGCAGTGTTTCGGCTTATCAATCTTTCTAGACAATGAGCTGAAAATCAGCTCTGTGATAACAGAAAGGTGTTTGATAAGTGTAATAAATGATCACGATGAAATCAAAAGGGCTGAAGGGGGAAATGCAAAAACCCAGATAGGTTGGAGCTCATTACTTGTCCTTTAATCATATGAGTTTTAAACTCTGTTGGTAAATGAGATTCAAAAAAAGCTCCAGAATTGGTCTACATTTGGGAAAAACGCATTTCACTTCAAACGTATTCTTTTACAATCCGTACTAAATATATACCAGCATATGATCCTAAACTTAGCAACCATTTATATCCCTGACGATCAATTTATATTTTCTTTCTTTTTTTTTTTTTACTATCTAATGGTGTTTTGACCACAATTATTTCATTGCTTCTCGCGTTAATAAAAACAATTGAAAACAATTTTAAAAAATATCTTCAATGATGCAAGGAGCAACCATTTTCTTTCATCAAATATAGTGGCTAATCTTTCAGTGTTCAAACATATACTAACACTAGAAGCTGCACGATAATCTATGCACTTCTTTTCGAGAAAACATCGAGGTATTTGTCCATTTTTCATTCCTCAATTAAACAATTGAAGGCTGTATTAAACCTTTTTTTTTTCATGATAACAATTACAGCCCCCGTTTTTTAAGCAAAGAGACAACTACTTTTTTTTTCCGGGCCTTATCTTCACAATTGCTCAAGTAGTGTTCATTACTGCAAGGATCGCTTCCATATTCACACACTGTGGTTATGTTGACAAAAATTTTCTATTACCTTTACAAACCTTTATTTCCGCAAAGTTTTTCCCCTGTGCTTAGTCTTTCAAACGAAAGTTATGTTGTGTACTTCGAAGACAAAACATACTTCAAAACACCAACTAAAATAATTTATAAATGATAACAATAAAAATAAACCTTTTTTTAAGACAGTACCAAATATAAACAAAGCCTTAAAGGTATTGTTGTCTAAAGATAGAAATACCCCAATAAATACGTTCATTAAAATGGTAATTGCAATGCCAGGATATGATTCTGTGAAAAACAATTGAGTTATCTAAATAAAATCATATAAACTGGTGCTATTTTGTATTGTTTGGAAATTACTAATACCAGTGTGTGTGGGACGCTATAAGCTGCCATCGCCAGTTTTAAATTTGTTTTCAAACCCTGTTTTCCAATCCCACTTTCTGGTGTCTCCAAACATAGTGGACAGTTTTATCAGACCAGAAATGTGGACTTGAAACTGAGCAAACCGCGGACTGCATCGAAACACCGTAGCTCAAGCACATGACAATAATGGTTTAGTAGAAGAAAATGATTACTGAAAATGCAAAATTTAATAATTCGGAAAGGAACTAATAAATTAGGC